AGCGGATTTTTCAGTTGAGAGCTGGAAAAGGGAACACTAAGAAGGGTCAAGAATCTTTTTCTTTTTCTGCTCCGAACCGCACAGAGCAGGCAAACGTTCTGGTTTAAGTGAATCAATTCGTCCAGAGCAGCAGTATATTTTCAGACGTTAATTTTTTTTTTTTTGCTACAGGAAGTTAAACACACTTAAAAAAAAAAGTCACGGAATGCATTCAGAATTCCAAAGTAATCCCCAAGTTAACACTGCTCACTGCACTCCTCAATAGCACACACATCAGTACAAGTAAGTGCCCGTGTATAGACATCCTTCATTTTTTTTAGGCATTTTTGTTTGAAAAACTATTGATTTTTCATTCAACGAAGATGCTTCTTCTGGTTTCGTTGTTTTTTGTGTGTGTTGTTGTTTTTTTTTTAACCAGCATGAAACTGGTTTTGGTGAAATAGTCTTAACTGACATTTTTATTTTGATTTTGATTTGAAGGAAGAAGGACACACATAGAGAGTTCTGTGGAGTCCTCTTGCTGAGAAATCGAAACTCACTTTCTCAGCAAAAGCCCGTCATTTACAAGAACCACACGATTTGCTGTAGCCCAACTAATTTCTGTCCAGGGAAGAGAAATGGTGGGTTATTTAGAAAATACAATTGCAAACAAAATCTAGTGGGGGGGGGGGGAGGAATTCAAGCATGTATGCAAAAATGAGCTAGAACTTTAAAATCCCTTAAAAAATTACATCAACACAGAAATAGATGCGCGCAAGAAAAAAAATTAGATCAGCTTAACGCCTTCAACAACTGACCAGGCTAGTTGGCATTTCTTTAAAAATGGAACATATACTTGCCTTGCTCACAAGCAAAATGTTACTGCTTCTGGATTGCTCTGAAATCTCAGATAGCTTTCTAACATCTTTTTACACAAAGAACCAAAGCCACCCAACTACCACCAACAAATTAACAAAACTCCATTTCACACGACCACTAAAAAGGACAGTTTTTTGCTCTTGTTTTCATTCACTTTCTCTCTCTCTTTTTTTTTTTTGGATGAAGTCACTGAGAATAGAATTTATAGGACACTTGTAAAAGGTGAATTTTTTCCCCTGAAATGCAATATCATTTTGGCTTTGTTGAGTTCATTTTAGGATAAGTTTTATACTTTTAATAGGAAAATCACTCCTCTGTATGGTGCCACATTGAAATCATGCTTTTCATGGCTTTGGTTACATAATTAAATGGCTTTTTAAGCAACAAGATAAGCAGTGGCACACATAACTAAAACTACTGATTATTTGCCTGTATTTAAATGTACATGAATAAAACAATGTCTTGTAAAGAATAACACGGGAACACATTACAGTTTTCAAAATATGATCATATTTTAACTGAGAATATATTTACTGAGATGGTTAACCGGCAGCTTTTTTTACGATGATATAATTTTATTTATTCATAGTGCATTTATATAGCACCTCCCCCTCCCCTTTGTGGAATTTGCCATCATTTAACCGTGATCTTTAATCAAATACCCGATGGGAGGGGCTTGTGTAAAGGTACAACATGAACGAAGTGCAGCAAGGCAAATACATTCGATTAAAATAAAATCAAACGTTTCCATGGATGCAACCATTATTTACTTTATCTGACAGTAACTAGCTAAACTGCCTGGAATGGAAAACTTACTAATGGAGCACAGTTCCAAGATTTCAAAGATCTTTTCAGACAAGGGAATGCAAATGCTCCTTAACCCAGTAGTAACCGAATACTTGTAGGAACTAGATTCTACAGTCTGATAAGTGACCTGGGAGAAGGGGCTGCGGTGGTTGAGTTTGGGCTGCGGTGGTTGAGTTTGCCTCCTGGACCAAGCATGCACACAGCTAGCCACAGACACAAGCCCCTAGTGACCAGGAATTCAGGCTGCTGGGGCGGGCGGGACTGGATAGGATGGGCTCCACGCAGGAAAGACCCACAACTCAAGAGGGGGACCAACTAGAAGGAGTCTGAACGGTCCCATTTGGCAGCTGGAGTTGACCCCAGTCCCTGCTCTGGGCATAAAACAAAGATGATTCCTTCACAGGATGCAATAGTGGTTGTCAACTTCTCAGGAGCTGGGTCAGTCCTGCGTGGGGCAAGGGATGGGGAGAGAAAAGCAGGATGGGCAATGGACGCCACCCAGCTGGGACCCTTTCTTTGCTAGGTCTCCCCAACCCTCCAGCCTGCTACCTGAAGTGCATTGAACTGGGAGGCATCGGGGCGGACAGTGGTGGGGCAGTGGCGGGACAGTGGCGGGTTGCGGTGTGATTTGTGGGCCCGTGGGTGGTGAGGAGACAGAAAAGACAGACCTGGTAGGCCCTGGTGACGGCCCTGGGTGTGGGGCATGATGTGAGGTTGGGGCGCTGGAGCTACGCAGTGTCCCAGTCTCGGTTCTAAGACACGGGTTTGTAGAATTCAGTTTAGATAGGGCCTGGGAGACAAAGGCATGGCTGAGAGGCAAGGCACGTAGCCAGGACAGACTCAGACATCTATTGGAAATGGGGAGCGCAAGATCCCTTTGGTAAAAGGGATCTTTTACACATCTTGAGATCACCTGCGGAGTTGCAGAAATGGTTCCCCCAAGATGCTACGCCCTGGGGGTGGGGACACAGCTTCCTTCTGGTAGGATCTCCCACCACCGTGATACACACACCCAAGGCCCCCCACCCTTCAGTGACATGCACTCACCCCCACTTCTTTCTGGATGCTTGAACCTGTGCTGGGATCCCCGCTGCAAAACTGCAAAACTGACACAGTCCTTCCCGGGCCTGGTTAAGAGGGAACTGTCTCTGCTTGGGGCGTCTGCAGTGTTCAACTTTAAAGCTGAAAGGACTTGGGCAGCCCCTCTGGCTGACAGCTGGAAGGAGCCAGGCCCTGCCCACAGACCATCTTTCCCATCGCCCTGGGGACCTTGCTCTTGGGTATGTGTGGGCCCCAGGCATCCAGGCATCCCAAGCTGCCCCAGGCGCTGTCTTCCCCACAACATTTCCTCTCTCCCTCTCTCTCTCTCTCTCTCTCTCTCTCTCTCTCTCTCTCTCTCTCTCTCTCTCTCTCTCTCTCTCTCTGGTAGAGCCCCGCCTCTCTCCCCTCCCAACAGGCTGTTCTTTCTCTGCTGGGCCTTTGCCTAGCTGTCTTGAAGTTGTGGAGTCCTGCATGTAAGTTTTCCATTCAAATTCCACCCCACCCCCACCTCTCCCACATACACACAGACAGACTACCCCTCTCCCCTATACCTTCTAACTTCTCCCTTTTAGCTAATCGGATCTTTCCCAACTCCGCCATGCTGACTGCCAAAAAAAAAAAAATGAAATTAACACAAAACAAAACAAACTAACCTTGGGGCAGCTTGGTGAAGATGTCAGGGCTGGGTGGGAACTTATTTTTTTTCAAGGCCAGTGCTGCCCTCATGTCTTTATGGGGGCCTCAGTAGCACTCTTCAACTCACAGGGTGAATGCCAACGGTGAGGAAGAACATGGTCCCAGAATCTCTGGAGGATCTCATAGATCCCACCAGAAAGCAACCAAGGTCTCATGAGGGCAGCAGGAGTAGAGAACTTGGGTGTGTCTCTGGATTTCAATAGGCAGAAGAGAGGTAGTCAGAGCGGGGGTCACCTTCCTTCTGAGAAAAGATATTGCTCTCCAAACCCTGTGAAGCCTTGCAGGGTGTATAGTGGTCCGGCCACATCACCACCAAGCCTACCACCAATACAGTCAACCTCTGAGCAGTAGTTGACATGTACTGAACACTTCACATGCTTAGGACCCGAAGTTCCTGGTTTGTTTGACTTGATTTAACCTAAGTGATAACCCCGAAGAGGGTATTTCTAGCTCCTTTCTACAAGTGAGAAAATTGAGAAATGTCCAAGAATAAATTCTTGTTTAGGCCAGAATTCAAAGTCAAGAGCATAGTAAGAACACCAAAGCAGAGTGAGAACTCTATCATTTTGGGCATTGGTGCATTGGCTCACACCTGTAATTGTATAGTACTCAGAAGGCTGAGATCTGAGGGTCTTGGGTGAGAGCCAGGCAGACAAATTCGAGGGACTCTTATCTCTAATTAACTAGCAAAAAGCTGGAAGCAGAGGTATGGCAGGATGCCATCCCTGAATGGGGAAAAGGCTAGATAAGAGCATGAGGCCCTAAATTCAAGCCCCATTTTCAACACAGGAGGTAGGGGGAGAGAGAGACACTTCATTACCTTGTCTTTCACATACCTGCTCTGCGCAGCCGCTTTGAAGGCTACAAGGGCAAATGCAAACTGCCCTCGAGGGGCTCACAACCTAACCAGACTACCCACAGGTACATTAAAGCTATAGAACTAAGAGGCAAAGGAGTTGCCAAGTTCAGAGGCGGGAAAGAAGACTTCCGGCCAGGCGATGGGCTCAGGGAGCGCTTCCTTGAAGAAGGTGGTATTTGTGTAGAGCCTCGGAGAACAGCTTTCCATTCGTGGAAACGGGGCAGGAGAGGCATCCGGGTGGAGAAAACAGCTGGAGCAAAGGCAACGAGACAGAAAGTGACACGTCGTTCACACATGGATAAAACACTTCGTCTCCTTGGGAATCCAGCTAGTCGCGTTTATCATCAGCCACGGAGGTTGTCCTGCCCACTCACAGCAGGTGGGGAGGAAAAAATAACACTCTAACACTCTTGTGACATCCATCCCGAGCACTGATTTCATGGACAGTGGAGCCTTCCAGAACTGGGTCAGATCGAGCAAGAAATCCGCAAGTTCGTACACCCGGGGTCGGCGCCAGCCTCTTCCGCAGTGACTTGGACTTCGGGATCCGACCCTCAGTCCTTGTCTATTTCTGGTAGCACCCGCAACATCCTACAGGGTGGACACGTGGGGCGTGGCCCACAGGAGCCAGAACCAATGAGGAGCGAGGCCAGGGTGCCTGCCCCGCCCCCAGACATGACGCAAGGCCCTGGGACAGAGGCTTCGCAGCCCCGGCCCCAGTCCTTGCAGTGGCTGTAACAAAACCCAGACCCCCAGGTCCGGGCCAATGGAGGCGATTTAGACTGGAGCGAGATCGCGTCTGTCAAAAGCCGGACTCTGCAGCACGGCGGCGGCGGCGGAGTCCGGAAAGGAAGCTGGAGCCATCGGCTGCCTCCCCGCCCCCGCCGGGATTTATTAAGTATTTGGACTGGACAATCAAGTGGCCCTGATGATGTTACCAAGCCCGGTCACCTCCACCCCTTTCTCAGTCAAAGACATTTTGAATCTGGAGCAACAGCAGCACTTCCACGGCGCTCATTTGCAGACGGACCTGGAACACCACTTCCACTCGGCGCCTTGTATGTTGGCCGCCGCGGAGGGGACACAGTTTTCCGATGGAGGGGAGGAGGACGAGGAGGAGGAGAGCGAGAAACTGTCTTATTTGAACTCACTAGCCGCAGCCGACGGCCACGGGGATTCGGGTCTCTGTCCCCAGAGCTATGTCCACACGGTCCTGCGAGACGCATGCAGCGGGCCTAAGGAACACGAAGAGGAGGTCGTGAGGGACCGGAGCCAAAGTGAGTAGAGGGGGAACGGAAACGCACCCGCACACCTGGAGCAATGGCTCAACGCCCGCAAACACAAACCTTGCCAGAAAGGCTACCCGCCCCTTTAACCTTTGACTAGGGACATGCCTCCGCCCCCAGCCAACGACAGCTCCGACACTCAGCTCCAAAGCGCAGGTACCTGCCAGGGAGTTGAGGTGGAGGAAGGAGGACGAGGTGACCCTGACAAGTACTCACCCCCCACACACACACTCCGAGCAGTAGAAAGTGGTTATCGCTGCCCTGTTGTGGAGAACCGGATGGAACTCAGCCACAGAGCCCCAACATCTCTCAGTGTTTTGGCTCTACCCCCTCCAAACAAAGTGCTCCCCTTCCAGAAAAATAGGGAGCAGGAGCCTGGCCAGCTTTCCGATTTCCTTTTTAACATGAGATGAGTTATCTGAAGCCAGAACAGACACCTCCTCTTCTCCGAAAAGGCGGTGTGAACAGCTTGTGCTGTCTCTAGCCCTGCGGTGGCTCGGGAACTTCGGTAGAGACCAGCTGAGTGGATCCCTTAGTTCTCTGCGTGGGGTTCAGCGGTGTCTGCTCCCATCCCACCCTGCAGAGGGAAGAGGATGATCCAAGAGGGCGTGGGAACACCATCGGTTCTTGGTGACCTTAGCTTTCACACTTCTAAGCACTGGCCTGTTTAAAATCATTCCTAGACGTTTTTGCTTTGTGCTTCAGGCTGTAGGCCAAATAGAGAAGGCTCTGAACTTAACACAGATCCCAGCGGACTGGAGGTAAACTCGGTAGGGAGATCAGATAACCGATTAAAGTCCCTGAAGTAGTGTTTCTAAGGGGACCAAATCAAGAAATCGCCTTCCCCAAGAGGAGGTTTAACGTGGCCGAGGCCAAGGCCTATCCCCTAGCATGCTCCTCAGGCCTAAAATCCACACGAGGCTGTCTAAAACCAAACTCATTCTCTCTCTCTCTCTCTCTCTCTCTCTCTCTCTCTCTCTGCTGTAACGCAGACATCACACACTTATTTACAAGCAGTCTTTAATAAGCAAAAACCAAAACAGTCGGCAGGCTCAGAACCCGTTGCATTCAGACACTTCCCAACAGAAAAACTTCAAGCAACCTATGTATATCCCCTTCTCTTCCCCTCTCCCTTCCCTGCCCCATGCCAACACCTTCAGTTATCCGTGTAGAGTGAAAGGCAACCGAGCTGCAAATACTGTAGTTGTTATGGAGTCGCAAGCTTTCATCCTGAAAATAGTCATTAGGCCGTCGAGCCACAGGTTTAATACAGGGTAATCTCTTCTCTCTAAGATGCTCATAGTTTAATAAATGCATACTAACTACTCCCCCCCCCAACGTGCCTCCGCCCCACTGGGGCCGTTCTTTGAGTATAGGGCTGTCTATATTGCAGGATCCTAAGGGACCAGGAATCACGAAGTTTGCAAAAAGTTCAGACATTTCCTACCGCACGAAAATCAAGGGCAGGTGTGTATGTGGGGAGCATGGTAAGGCTGAGAACAGCTAATGACCCCCTGGTTGTTTTGCTTCTCCTGCAGAAAGCTGCCAGCTGAAGAAGAATCTAGAAGCGGCAGGAGACGGGAAGGCGACGACGGAGGAGAGCGAGAGACCCAAGCCGCGCAGCCGCCGGAAGCCGCGGGTCCTCTTCTCGCAAGCTCAGGTCTTCGAGTTGGAACGCAGGTTCAAGCAGCAGCGGTACCTGTCGGCGCCCGAGCGGGAGCACCTCGCCAGCAGCTTGAAGCTCACGTCCACGCAGGTGAAAATCTGGTTCCAGAATCGCAGGTACAAGTGCAAGAGACAACGGCAGGACAAGTCTCTGGAGCTGGGCGCGCACGCCCCGCCGCCGCCGCCGCGCCGCGTGGCCGTCCCGGTGCTGGTGCGGGACGGCAAACCGTGCGTCACGCCCAGCGCGCAGGCCTACGGCGCGCCCTACAGTGTGGGTGCGGGCGCCTATTCGTACAACAGCTTCCCCGCCTACGGCTACGGGAACTCGGCCGCCGCTGCCGCCGCCGCCGCCGCCGCTGCCGCCGCCGCCGCGGCCTATAGCGGCAGTTACGGCTGTGCGTACCCGACCGGCGGCGGCGGCGGTGGCGGCGGCGGGGGTGGCGGCGGGGGAGCCTCCGCCACGCCGGCCACCGCCATGCAACCCGCCTGCAGCGCGACCGGCGGCGGTCCCTTTGTGAACGTGAGCAACCTGGGAGGCTTCGGCGGCGGCGGCGGCGGCGGTGCCCAGCCCCTGCACCAGGCTGCGGCAGCCGGGGCTGCGTGTGCGCAGGGCACCTTGCAGGGCATTCGGGCCTGGTAGAGACCTCGCTGGTTACGCGGCGGGCACCTCCCCCATCGCTGCTTGGCGCCGTGGGGAATGAAGCATGAAAAAGGCCAGATCCAAGAGCCAGGTCCCCTCGGTTAAAAGCAGCAACAACAACAAAACGACAAGTAAATAAAATGCGTATGTCTTGCTCTCCAGAGCTTCGTCTGTCCGGATCGCGGCTCACTTGAGGCCTGGGGAAAAAGACTCAGCATTGGGGAGAGGAGGAATCTCGAGTCCGATCGCCAAGACTGTCTGAGACAGAAATCTAGGCTAAATGTAAGGCCGGACGATGCCCTCCCCCCAACCCCCCGGTGCTGGCCCCTCCGGGGAGTGCGGGAGTCTGGGACTCCTACCGCCGCTGGTTCTCTTAGAGTGGCAAGGGCTTCTCTCCCTTCGCGAAAAGTTGACGGGGAACAAGGACCAAAAAAGAATAAAAAGAATGAAAAGGAAAAGAAGGAAAGGAAGAAAGAAAGCAAAGCAAAAGAATGGGGGACGTGGTTTGAGAATTCCCGGGTTCTCTCGGTCCTGTCCCGCCTTTGCTGGCCCGAAGCGCCATCACACAGTTGATTTTCGTTTTCCCACCGCTCCCCCTGCGCAGCGGAGACGCGGCCCAGATCTCTCTGGATTGTCCGCAACAGACTCAGGACTCTTCCAGGAAAAACAGCCCCGGGAGATCGAAAGTTGAGGGGAAGATTGGGGGGAGGGGGGCTGAGCAAATCCAGGACCTGGTGGACCACCGGAGGTGTTCCCAGGTCGCCTTTCTGTTTCCTATTCTGTATTCAGCACATATTATCTCTCTCTATAACTATATTCACACACCATGTACACACCCGCTGCCATACACTACAGGAATCAATAAACAAGGTGCAATATTTCCAAACTGTTGGCAGGCTGCAGACTTTGTTCAGTCCCAATGAGTGGAGGAGCTCCCTTAAAATTGGATCGGGAAGAGAAGGAAAGAGGAGCCTTAATTAAAAAAAAAAAAATCTTCCCTGGAGGGGTGGGCGGCGGAGAATCACAGCCTGGTCCCCTCCTAAGCCAGACCCCAGACTACAGGTCTGATCTCTTCCCAGCTTTGTTCATTAACTTCTCTTTACTGTAGTGGGAAAGACACGCTGGAGATTCAGAAGGTCCCAGACTTTGTAATCCCCTCCCCATCCCGAATTTTACTCGGATTGCTTGGAGTAGCTGTCTGGACCTGTCTAGGTCAAGGGTTAGACCCTGCCGGACCTCCAGGGATGCCAAGGAAGGGAAAAACTTTGCCTTCAACTCAGCCTAGCCGCAGGCTACGCGAAGGCCGCTCCTTCCCCGGCCTCCACCCGGGCTCCCAGCGCGCCCGGGGGGCGCTGCGCTGCGCCCCGTCGCGGTCTAGCTCTCCCCCTCGGCCGCCCTCCCTTCTCCCCCGGCGGCCGCGGCTTAATGCAGCTCCTTGTCACTAGCGGAGAATGCCTGTGCGAGGCCTGGGCTGCCACACGGCCGATTGTGAGCGTGCCAAGGCGGGTGAATGGGGAGGCCTCAGAGCGCTGGGCCATTGTGGGGCCGGGCCTCGCTGAAAGGCGGCTCCGGGCCGGGAAGGTGCGGAAAGAATGGCTTTTTATTGGAGTCCCGAACAAAAGGTGTGGTAGGAAGGCGAGGTCCCCTGCGCGAACAAAAACCCCAGCGCGTCGGATTGACGTCTCTCCCGAGCTCCCCATTGCTTCTCCGAGCGGGGGCTTTGTGCAGCAGCCTGCTCAACAGAGGGACGGAGAAATGCGCGGGGGTTTTGTTCCCCATTTTTTTTTTGTGCGCTGGGGGGAAGGGGCGGCCCGGGGGCCGGGGGCTGGGCGGGCAGCAGGGAGGGGCGCACTGATTAGGCCGGGCTGGCCGGGCGCACAGGCGTTCGGCGGGAGTCGGAGGCCTGAATGCAGGGTCATTATTGCTACAAGTTTAGCAATTTCGCCCTTGCAAGAGGGGGGTGGGGGCTGGTGGGCTGCCTCGGGGCCGCCCCACTGGGGAGCTGGAGAGACGCGAGGAGTTGGAAGAAAAAGGAGGAGGGAAAGGAGGGAGGGAGAAAAGGAGGGAGGGAAGTTGGGCGGCCCTCGGAAACCCTCTGACCGCCCAGGAAGCGCTTGGCCGCATCTAAAAGGGCCTAGTGGGGGGCTGGAGAAGGGGTGCTGGGGCAGGGAGGTCCCCCCTCCTCTCTTCTCTCTGGCTTTAGAAGCCCCTGGAGCTGGGCCTGAGTTAGGGTATCAGACTGGGGCTTCCTCAACTAACTGATCGGCTTCAATTTTCCCTTCTCTCACACCTCCCACCAACCTACAAGTTATTTATAGAAGTTGGGTGTATGGGGTGTGAGTTTGTGTGACAACAACCAAATAAATGTGGGGGGAAAATAGTAGATGAATTCAAAAGAGGAGATGGAACCCAATGCTGGGAGTTAGGGTACCCTAAGGGGAGAGAGTAGTGGTCACAGCAGTGATGCCTTGGCCTTCATGCCTGTGCTATAGTCCCCCCTGGTCTGGGATGCCCTTCTTCATCTTTCTTTGGAGCTCCTGTGCCTCCTTCAAGGCCAAGTGTCTTTCTGAAACCCCTTAAACGGAGTTAATCACCCCCTTATTTGTGCCACCAGAGTCTTAGGTACTTTCCAATGTCATCACATGGTATGGTGCAAAGATTTATTTGTGTCTCTCTCCTCCACAAAAGGTCTTGGAGAGCCAGTCTGGCATCTTTTGTCTTTGGGAATTAGATCTTCTGGGGTTATCAGCTCTGCAGCGCATGCCTGCCTGCCAGGTTTTTTCACGGCTCCTTCCCTGGAGCTCCCAGCAGATGGCCCTGGTAGTGTCAAGCTGTAGCTTTGAGGGAGATGTAAAAGGGGGATTCTTGGCTCAGCAACCCATCTAACCCCAGAGTCAGGGCCTTAGAGCTCAAAATCTAAGCAAGGAGGCTGAGTGAGAACTTAGTGAAGACTGATACTGAAATACAAAGTTTGGGAATTAGGACTGGGAGATAAGGAAAAAGGGGTCTAGAAGGCATTTCCTCTACATTTGTGAGCGGCTGAGAATGACAGGTGAGCTTAATTCCAAGGTTGGATTTCTCTGAGAGCAGTCACTCTCTCTCCCCTGAGGGTTTCCTAAATAAGAAGCTACTTCTCCAGTCCAGTCCTGCATCCTGCTGGGCCATGGCCTCTCTGTGCTCCCAGCCCCAGCCCCTCACCGTCCCTGCCCAGCTTCCTCCTGGCCCTTCATTCTGCATCCTCTCCAGTTCTGGAATGTAACTCTCATAGAGGAAATACAGCTGGTCCTATGGACGGGCTTCCTCCTGGTTTGCGTGTCTTAAGACACTTAAAGCTAGGCTGGACCAGCCTCCCTGCTCCTTACCCTACCCTGGGGCCTGCACACTCAAATATAAATAGCCCTCGTCACTTTGTGAGGGATTTCCGTCCGTTCTGGTCATTACTGGGGTTCTGATGCTAGGGACATCAGGTGAAAATGTCTGATCAACCCAGCTCCCCCTTCCCTGAACTCTCTCTCTCTCTCTCTCTCTCTCTCTCTCTCTCTCTCTCTCTCTCTCTCTCTCTCTGTCTTCCTCATGGGGCTCAAACTGTGGAAAACCACAAGAAGCAATAATAAAATTCAGACAAGTCTAACAGCCCCTGAAACTGATCCAAGGCCAAGTCCAAGTTGTCCCTGGGACTCTGCTTTCTGAGCCTCAAGACAGAAAGAAGGGTGGCATCTGTGATTTCAGAGATCACCTCTGGCTAGATCCTCCTTGTTACTCTGAATCTGTAGATAACCATTGTTGCTTTCTAGTGACTGTGTCCCAGGGACCTCAGGAGGCGGGTGGGCACTTCCGGTGGGAGAGGCCCAATTGGGTCCAGCAGATCGCATTGGGGTGCTTCCTCCCTCCCCACAGAGCCTGATCTTGGGAATTAGGAAGATGGTTTTGGATCCATCTAATCACAGTGTCGCTGCCACCAGCAGTATGGACCTTGAGTAAGTAAGGAACGCTCTGAATCCCAGTTTCAGTGTGCTTACAGCGTATTTCTCTTAGCATTTTTTCTGTTGGTGGTGGTTTGAACTCAAGGCCTTGCGCGTGTGAAGCAAGCACTCTACCGCCTCCCCAGCCCTCGCTTAGATTAACAACTAAAACAAAGCATACAAACCTTGTATGTAATTCACTTGGCTTTGAAAAACCACGTGAGACGATCTATGTACAAGTAGCTTAGTGCAGGTTTGGTACTGGTGGGGCACCCATCAGACCTTGTGCTAGGTAGGGTGAATGCTGAGAATTAGGTCCCGAGAATTCGGAGTCCCCAAACCGCGGGCGCGCATTCCAGGCCCGTTGCTGGTGAGCCCCGGGACGGAGGCAACCCAGTTTGCTCCTGGGGAATTCGACCCCAGGTGGAGCCGCTTACGAGTTCCCCTCCAGCCCAAGAGAAAAGGATTGGGAAGGGAAACGGCTTCTGCAGGGCCCGCAGGCCCCGCCGCTGAGTGAGCCGGGCCGCTCGCCTCCGCCTGGGTGGAGCAGGGTGGGCGGGCGCTTCCCGGGAGAACGCGCGTGCGGAAGGCGGGGTGGTTCAAGGCCTCCACCTCTACCTCCCCGGGCTCCTTAGCTTCAGCGATCAGGGCCCCGGGGGGACTTCCCGGGGCGGGGATGGGGGGCTGCCATACACCCAACTTCAGGAACTCCAGGAGACGGCCTGGGACTGGACAGAATTCAGCTTAGTTGAACCGGGGGGGCAGATCCTCGGTGCAACGGGGTGGCGCAGGTGCGGGCGCTGCAGGCTCCCAGGCGGGGCCCTAGTTCAGGCAGCCAGAGCTGGAAGTGCAGGGAACCCCTGGGAAAGCCTGGCCAACCCAGAACCCCGTGAGCACCCCAACTGGAAGAGCCTGCAGCCATGATCGTCACAGCCCCTAGCGCCGAAGCAAGCGAGAACAGCAGCAGCCGGCAGCAGCGCGGAGGTAGGGCGTCCGGGGTGCGGTTTGAGGTGTGCTGGAGCCACTCTAGGTGGAGGCGTGTGGGCCACGGAGCACTGATCCCAAACCACACTTGAGATGTTAGAAAGACGCTTCCTCCTCCTCGCTCCCCAATCTAGACTGCAGGGACGAGCTTAATAAC